ACTGCTGCCAACAGTTCTCTCGAAATGAGTCAGTACCTGGGCACGATGCTTGGTCTATTGAACTTGGTGACGACGAACAAACATGAAGTCTATTCGACTAGTGTGATTCCTGTGTTTGAAAGTAGGTTGCCAGTGATGTTGACAGTGAACAGCAACCAAATCCAAGTCACGAATCATGGTTTGAAAGTCTTGTTTGTCACAATGGGCTGCTTGACCATACTTGGGGTCACGTGAGTGCACATGAGGTGCATCGGCTGTCAGTGGGGTGTTGCAATCACCTGCAAGCAACAACATGTGACTCTTCGGAACATGGTGAATGCAGTGACGGATGGCTTCAAATACCTGAAGTCGGTCTTGGAGAAGGGTGTGACGGTCTTTCAAAGAACTCCAGGAATGCTGATAAATACAAATGATATCGTGGATCCGGGTTAAATGTAACCGAACATAAATGAGCCGGCCTGGACACAATTCACTCCAAGCCAATTGATCAGGGCGCAATAGGCGTCGTCGAATCATGCAGAGAACAATGGCACGATGGCCATGCGAGAACAATGGTACGATGGCCATGCGAATGCAGCATGGACCAATCACCAGACACCCATTGATTGCTGAAGCGCCATCCAATTTCCTATAGGATAGCTACATCATATGAGGTCTGGGAGAGCCAGGTCACCCATTCGTCCAATAGAAGCCCGTTGGAGGCGTTCAAGGATTCAGTTGGTCGTGTTGGCGGAAGCGAACATCTGACCTTCATGTCTGGCATAGTAGCCGCATGTGTCAATTAATGACGAATCCTAAACGGGATATTGGAATACCAAAAATCCTTTCCACGATATTGTATACAGCCATACTTAAAGGCCCGTTTGCAGGCTCGATGAAAGCTCCTCTTAATTCTTTTGCATCTGGATGGATCCACAATTAGGACGTAGCCTAATGTCGCCCAAACCTCGTGAATTTTCGTGCCTAGCCGTTAATGGGAGACATTCTCATCATCAAGCGAGGTCTTAGTAATAACCCTCGCGCCAGGCATAAATCTTCCAGCTTACGGGATTTGGGACGTGGTGTCTCAGCTATCCATATAACAATATTACAAAGGACAATATCACAAAGGAAAATAGCCAGTAAATCGTCATCAACATATCCAGAATTATCTATTCAAAAAAGAAACAGTGACATAAACACGAAGAAATATAGAAATAGCTGCTGGATTCGAGCTAAGATGGCGCTTTCATATTATATTATTTAAAAAAAAATCGAATTTCAAATCGTATTCGAGACCAAATATATCATAATTCAATCTTAGAAAAATTCTCCATTATATCATCTAATTTTTAATATATTATAAATCATGTTAATTTCCTATATTTTTGTATTTTAACTATAATGTTTTTAATCAAATCCATATTTCATTATGTCTTCAAATATTATTCCAAACCCAACATATTCAATATTAAAAATCTATCGAAATATCAAAATAAATAAAATCATCAAGAAATTCTTCAAACATTCAAATATTATTCCAAAATTAAAATATTCAATATTAAACAATAATCGTAACAACATAATATATTTCGAAATAAAACAACTACAAAAACAAAAATAACATAAAATTATTATATAAAAAATAAACAATTCGAAAAAAATAGATAAATTAAATTATCAATCATTAATTCCAGAAATAATCCATATTTATTTCAGAAAATACATTCAAAATATTCCCTAAAAAATTACCTTTCGTAATAAACAAAATTAATTAACGCTAATTTTTATAATTACTTCATATAATTGTAAAGATTCAAATTATCGTTGATAAATATGCATTAAAAAGTGTCAATTATTAACTAACATAGATATATATATATATATGATAAACATAATGAATTTTTATCCATTATCGTCGTTCTCGGCATCCAATAAATGCCTAAACAGTAACGCAGGAGCAAAAATGTATGCAATGACACAATTTGCCATAACTGGCCTACCTCTAATTCTTCGCAGGTTTCCAAAGTTCTTGCTTTGTTCGTGGCCTGCAACTCTTTAGATAAGCATTATGTTTCCATCTGACCCTCATATTGATACACTGCAGATTTTGGGTGTCGTGGTCAGGCCCCACTTCCCATTCATATCTTTTGGGATCTTTCTGCGTTGCTATATGATGCTATATGTGTTTGTCTTTGATAGAGTGGAAGTCACATCGATGCTCATTGCTCGATCTAGCAGTTCCGGTCCCAGCAAACCACATTCCACGTGCTTGGCGTTATCTTTCTTGGATGAACGAAGGTCAAAGTCCTGCCAAGCATGCCTCTTCGGGTTCCCCTTACAGGGCTTGGATTTTGGCTGCTAGGATTGTCGATTCCGGTAACCCATCCTCCAACTCACAGAAATCATGATTGAAGGGGCAATCTGTCCAGGGAAGCGGATGATAAAAGCTCCGGTGCGAGTGTCAAATCCCGCTGTGATGCAGAATGCAAAGCAAGACACACATACACACAACACATCTCCAGCTTCTTCAAGACTATGACGTTACTTGCCATTGGCGTTCCAAGAAAGGTTACACATGACGCCATATGATTCACAAGCGTGAACAAGCGGAGTTCCATCCCCTTTCCATCCGAGTAAAGCGGCCACAAATGATGCTGCAGACTAAGGATCTCCTGCACGCTCTGAGAGTGTTCAAATCATAAAGAATCAAACAACCAGCAGGACCAGCGGTTGTAGAACTGGTGTTGTGAGAATGACGTGAGTCAGTGAAAGATGTTCATTCCACTTCCATCTTGGATCTTTTCATGCGCGACTCGCGTGACCTCATCAGAGCTATCTGAGCTGGTGTGATGATGGCAGCTGCAAATCGGCGCTTCTTGCGATTCCTGCGCACCCAAAGAATCAAAAGCTACGCTTGACTTCACTCAACGACAGACTCCATCCGTGGTGGTTAAACTAAAACGTTCAAGTCATACAGAACCCTGGCCTCCTCATCGCTGCTATTCGTGCCCAATTGGAAGATGCTTGAAAACGGCTCCTCCTACAACTCTGGGCGCACTATCTCACAGTCTGAGTCTGGAACAAAACCGAGATGGGAGACACCAACAAAACATAGTAACAAAATGTAAAGAAAGGGTACACATTACAAGAACTGTTAGATAATAATTACCCATGATGGCTGCTTTCAAACAATTTGTAGGTGCGGCTGGAAGTATATACAGTAGTTGCATTTTGTGACCAAGTCACCTCCTTGAGCAAGGTGTTGGTGCATTCCAGGCATCTTAAGGGCGGTAAGCCTTGCCAACTGAGGGCACATGTTTGACAAAACTGAGGCCGGCGTTTGCGCGTGTTCTTTGAATGCTTGCACAAACTGAAGAAGGCCACGGCATGACTAGGATCAGTTTTATAAGTTTCAACAAGCATACCCATGCCTACAACATCCAGCACGGCGCGCCTGCGGCAAGTAATAGAGGGCCAACCGTGCGCAAATCTGCTGACAGCGCGTCTTCGAACATTTCCCAATTGTGTATCCACTCTGGATACATGACCCCTGGCAAAGATTTGGGTCTCAGGTTTGGCAAACATTCACAGCCTTGGCAAATATTCTGCAGCCAAGAGTCGGGAAGTGTCGAAATCGTCCTTTCAGAAGGGCTCTTCCATCATCTCATATGCACCATTGTGAGTCTGATACAACCAATAAGATCAATAAGGCGAACAAAAAAAAGGATTGTCGGATCTGCAAAGCACCCATCCAACCACTTGATGGTTCTAAGGCAAGAAACAAAGAGCTGCCTCCTATAGCTCAAATACTATGTAATCAAGCGGAACTTCCAATTGGACATGGTTTATTGCGGCAAACCTCTATATCACACCTGGACCAAATGATTGATCATCAATTGCATGCATCTGCTCTCACATGCCAGGCAGAATACACCAAAAATCGAACGGTGGGGATTCTATTTGTCATGCCGGGGTCCTGCGCACATCTCGCGACATTGGCCAGCTGCTGGACACTGAAGCTGAGGAGGTCAGCACGATGCAAGGCCTCAGCCACAAGCGATCATTTCAATTTCTGCAGCGGTGGTCTATGATCACTTCTGTTGGCCAAAGGCAAAACGTTTTTTGACATGTTTTCCTTGAAAACACAACAGACACAGACCGCGTTTTGGCGGCTCACAACTAGCTGAAGACTGCCAGGTCACCAAGGCAGCACCAACCTCAATTCGTGGAAGACGACCCATGGAGCAAGCGAATTGAGGACCGGGCCATGGACCCTCATTCACTCTCTGATAAGATTGGGATTGGACACATACCCGGTAACATGGTAATCTCCATCAATCTCCCCACCCACCAGTGTACGATGCCTGCATTCCATCAATGTTCCATCCAAACCATTATATAATGCGCATCGTATCGCGTCGAATCCTAGCCCTCTCAGTCGAGCATCATATGTCTTATGTAGATGAATGCCTTGAGCTGACAGCTTCAAAGGATCAAGCTCCTCTGAGCTCAAGGACAGCGACTTGGCCAAAGGTATTACCTGGCAAACGAACAAAATGACTTCACAATTCGATTGCATTTAAGCTGGGTGAAACCACAAAAATAGGTTGTCCGCTATGTTTGGAATTTGCTTCATTGAAGGCCTTCCGCCCCTTGCATTTGCTGATGTGGACAATTGAACAGAACTTCTTCCGAAAATCATCACCTTCAAGCATCAAATCTGCTGCCAACGTCCACACCTCATGGATCAGGACGGCCACTGGACGGTCTTCATCCGGCCCCTGTACCGCAAGCTTTGGTATGCTGCTTGGGTCGACCGCACTGGCTTGCATTTTAATGTGTCTTGCTGGATCTTGGTTGTGCATCTTGACACGGTCTTGGAACATCTCAACATCTGTTGGAACATTCGTCCTGGCATTTCTTCCGAACGCACTATTTTGGTTTCTTCCGAACGCACTATTTTGTTTTGGCGTGCCTGCATCATCAATTGCCCTGCCAACAGATCTCCCTGGCCATTGTCACCTCAGTGTTTGTCAGTCATCGGGTCAACTTGGGGACTACAAGCACCGAAGGCTGGTGGCAAAGCAAACCCAATAACAGCGAGGGGAGTCTATTGATGTCGAGTGATCAACGATTCAACCTCGTCAGCCGCAAAATTGCTGCGCAATATAAACTCAAGGTAACCCTGTGGAACCACCTTTCATGGCATGTCTTTGAGATCTTTGAGCAATACCGGCCGGCACGTGTCCTCCTGTGTCCCCCTAGGTTCAATTATCTTGCGTGCCAGCAATCACAAGCCAATACCTGCATTGTTCATGACTTGTTTCCAATCAGAACACAAAGCTGAGTATCCTTGCCGGCCTGTTCGTATTCATTGATCTGTTCATCAAATGTCCTTTTTTGTCAAATCTTTCCGTGCAGCACAGGCACCGCAAAAAAATGAAATCATATTCTCGGTACAAACATGTATACCTTGAGCAGTTGCACAGGAAATGACACAAGCAAACAGCACAAAATCAGAGCAAGGACAGTGGGCGCAATGAGTCCTCTGCAATGCTAGCGGCGAGGCACTGCTGATCACTGCGGTGTGTTTTTTTGGTACTAGGTTGCCCGATGCAAATGAACAAGTACAATGATTTGCATTGGGTCCGGCACCATTGATGTCATGGCACTTGGCAAAAACCAATGGTTCTTTTTTGGTCGTTTTTGTCGACCAAAGAGCTCATCTGAGTTCTGTGCTGCTGGAAAACCGTGTGCTTGTATCGCCCCACCTCCTTTCGACAAAGCATGACAAAGTTTGAAGACTCATCGCCCATTCATGTGCGGTGTCTAACTCCGAGCTGGCCTCACGTGATTGAAAAAACAAGGTACGACCAAACAAGAACAACCGACTCCTCTTTGATCCCATTGCGTTGGCTGTCTGCTTCTGATTCACATACACACACACAGATATATACACATATATATATATATATGTACGCAGTTGTATGTATATATATATTTTTTGATGTATATTTACCTGAGAAGGGAAGGGACAAAAGTCAGCCTCGTTAAGAAGATATTAAGATGGCTATGGGGGGTGAATTGGAGAGCGCACAGCAAGTGCTGTCGGGAATGGGGCAGTCGAAGGCAGAAGTGGAAAGTCGCAGTAAAGGCCGATACGACAGGCTCTCATTCACAGGTCGGGGGGTGGGGTCCCCCTTTTCCTTCCCTCAAGGGGCGTTTTCAAGAAAAAAAGGGCACCCTTTAGTAACTGAGGGGCGCTTGCCTGCACTTGCTTTGTCTTGTCTTGTAGATAGACGCATAAAGTCGGCGTGCTGCTAAGAGTGGACCGAGGAAAGTGGACTGCCAAGATCATGTGATTGCTTAGCTTCGGGGAAAAATTACCGTTGTTATGGGGGGACGTCGACGTTGCAGTGATGCTACTGCTGTTGCAATAGAAAGCAGAATACATGTCAGGAGAGGTGCCCTCTTTTCTCCCGGTTCAAGGGCTTTTTCAAACTGGAAAAGGGCACCCCTAAGTAACTGAGGGGCGCTTGCCCGCTGTTTGTTAGTCGTGTCCTGTAGAGGCGCTTTCAGGCTAAAAAAGGGCACCCCTAAGGAGCTGAGGGGCGCTTGCCTGCTGCATTTTGTTCGTGTCTTGTAGATGGAATAAACTCGCGCCGCCAAGAGCGGATCGAGATCATGATCACGCGATTGCCAAACTTTGGGCAAAGATTGCTGTGGGGCTCCCATCGCCGAGGCTGTCCGCTGGCATTCGTAAGTATATTATATACATATATATACTTCGGTCTCTTCCCAAGTATGACTTTTTTGTCTCTTCATTAAAAACCGCTTTTGGTTGACAGAGGCGTTTCTGATATAGCAGAGGCGTTTCTATATTTGGAAGACCACTTGCCCACCAAGACAAAAAGGATCATCTTGGGAAGACGCATCAAATCAGAGTTCACCAGAGACCCACATCTCTTCTGGAGGAGTTCCAACCATCAGATTGCCTCCTGAGCCCCTCATGACGCTAATGGTGCACTCTTCGCCGTCATTTGCATCACTTGCATCACAACACCCCAAAAACCATACATTTTCAACCCCATTCAGCCCCTCGCTTTTTTCGCTCTCCCCCACCAGGCTCTGGGCTCGCCCTCCGAAATTGGTCTTCCTGCGACCACCCCCCCCACACCCCATCCCAACTCCAGCCTATCGGCTGGCTTTCGTGATAAACTTTTTAACATGGTGGTTGATCAAAATTCCTCCTTGCTGGAAGGCCATTCTTCGCGAACTTCTCTGGCTTTTGTGATGTCATCACAAAGGACTCTTTCACTCTACTCCTTAACAGAATCACACGCCTTTTTCACTTCCAGCTCCGTCCTCTGTTCTCAAGCTCTGTTCCCAGTGCGATTAAGCTCCAACCGCTGTGGAGCCTCCACTTGGTCATTCTCTATTCAGATGCTTTGATCCACAAAAAACAAGAGGAGAGCATCCCCTGATGCAGAAGACACCTCAGGTAGCGGGACACCCCACTCCAGCTACAGCTGGTCAGGGTGGGACAGAAACTCCACTGTCCGTCTTGGATCTTGAGCCAAAATGTACAACTGTGTGTTGTGATGATACTCGTGCACCCAAGCCTGCCCCAGACTCAACACAAATGGGAGTTGATCTAAATTCCTTCATCCGGGATCCGTCATTTTCGCAAAAAATACTTTAGCCAAATTTTCGCCGAAGCATGCTGTATTCATGTGTGCCATGTCTGTTGCGTTTTGTTCACGTCAACGGCTTCTTCTTTACCGGCAAGCACAAAATAGAAACTTCACTGTTTGTCAGCATGTGTCTTCTACTTAACTGTTGACACCCTGTACGTCTCTTTTGTTTCTCCTGGGTGTCAGCAAGAGTCAAAAATGGAAGAATCACTGTAGTAGCCGGTCACTCAAACTTACTCATAATGGGCTGGGGGTCAGATGTGGCAGGGTGAAATTTTGCCAATCTTGAGCTGAACTTTCGCCAAACTTTCGCCTTTTGCGGGGTAAAGTTTTGTGGCAAAGCCACCCCCCCAAAGCAGGAGCAGGAATAGGAATAGTAGTAGTAGTCGTCGTCGTCGTCGTAGTAGTAGTCGTAGTAGTCGTAGTAGTCGTAGTCGTAGTCGTAGTAGTCGTAGTCGTAGTCGTAGTCGTAGTCGTAGTCGTAGTAGTCGTAGTAGTCGTCGTAGTCGTCGTAGTCGTCGTAGTCGTCGTCGTCGTCGTCGTCGTCGTCGTAGTCGTAGTAGTAGTAGTAGTAGTAGCAGTAGTAGCAGTAGTAGTAGTAGCAGTAGTAGCAGTAGTAGTAGTAGGTGGTAGTAGTAGTAGTAGCAGTAGTAGTAGTAGTAGTAGCCGCAGCAGCAGCAGCAGGAGTAGTAGCAGTAGTAGCCGCAGCAGCAGCAGGTTATCTAACTTCCACAGCTCATCTAACTTCTGAGTCACTGCCACCAGCTGTTCAGGAAGCAAATGAACATTCATACATAATACAAAAGTACATATTTAATATTGCGCCAGATCTTTCGCCAAAAAATGAATTACTTTCGCCAACTCGACAAAAACTTTCGCCAAATGATATTTTGATATGTTCCGGGTCATCGTCATACACAATGTTGTCTAGGACCTTTAGATCGACAACCACATATATAAGTATTATACTAAATAGCCCATCATATTCCTATATAAATGAGCGGCTGTTAAAATAAGATTGGGCCTCCCAGGCATTGGAGTTGCAAAAGCATAGCTTCACAAGAGCACCAAAACCGATCCTGCAGAGACAGGGATTCAGTGGCCTGACTGTCACAGGATCATAAAATGTGTGTGTTTTTTAAAATAATGTTTGCGTTTAACAACCCTTCTTGATATACCTTGATGCTCATCAAGAATCACCACACTCATCCGGGCAATTCGGTCCCGAGGGAGCCAGCCAGCATGCTGGGGATCGTGTGCCTCAATGTGAGTTCATCCGATAAAAATGAATCAAATGCCTACTCATGCTGCAGACTGGTTCTCGAGTGGCATCACAAGACAAAACAACATACAACGGCAATCATGTTTGACAATTCAAGTGGAAGCGGCTGGAGCGGAGCCCGGGCAGAAAGGGCACCACTCCAAGCACCACTTGGAGGCGCATTTCGCTTCTCTCTGTGCTCAAAGAAAACAATTGACTCTTGGAGGTCGGGCCCTTGCTGCACTGCGATACAAAAAGCAACCATGTTTGTGTTCACATATCACCTCCAGGTAAGAAATTGGCAGTACCTCAAGTTTTGGTTGCCAGGCTGTTAGTGCACTTGGTGTTTGATGCTGAGCACCCAGCAGGACCTGCTGCTGGAAAAGCTGCTGCACCATCCTAACCAAGCTGAGAAAAGAAACAGCAGCGGTCTTATTCGTGCTCTAAGCAAAGAGCTTCTCGCTTGATTTGCTCTTCAATAGTTCGATGAGTAGTCTGACCGTGACCTTCTCCCGAGGATAAAAGGATGTGTGACTGACTTATGAAAGAAAAAAACACTATCCTATCCTTTCATTTTTTCCTTGGTGCTGTCTTGCTTGGCGGTTGTGCAATGTTGCACACAGCCATATCTTGATAACTTCAAGATCTGACAAGTTTGACAAGTAGGAAATTTCGACCAGTGTCCTGAACGTTCTCTGCTCAGAAACGTCTTTGTAGATGTGAGGCCTCCAGGCTTGGGCAACACCTTTGACTGGGGTCTTCTTCCCTGGGAGGTAATACACAAGGGAAAGCTGACCTCGCTGGCAGAATAGAATGAAGAAATGCTTCTCTCCACCTCTCTCTATCGAAGACATCACGACGCTCCCGTCTTCGTTGGATGCTGCATGACGAAGCACCTGGCCGATAAGAACACCACGTTGGAGCATGGCCTGAGCGTTGCGAAGCCGAGTCGGCATGGAGTCTACGAGTGAAGCATAATACGAACAAAACCGATTGAAGAACATACTAGTAACCGTTTGTGAACGTTTCCACCATCTTGATGAGCATAGAGAGAGAGAGAGAAGAAAAAACAAGAGAAACGCTTTTCAACCCATGAGCACCTCTTTCTGTTTGATCCGTCTCGAGCCGAGCGAGCCCCCCACTCCGATGGTGTGAAGCTGGAATCCAGCTCTCGCAAGAGCGTTGCGAAGCCGGGGTAGATCATCTTTTTGGGCCTGAGGATATCTTAGGATCGTGCAGTGTAGCTGGAACAATAATTACTTCACTTCAAGCGTTCAGGTCAAATGGCCTCAAATGGCTAAAATATGCTAAAATTGTCCAAATGTTGACAACAGTTTGCGCACTTGGCATGAGATGGTATGAGCGGTTGTGGGGCATCCCGCATTGAAAACTGCGTGAAACGTCCATGGCCAACCAGCCAGTGTCAACAACTTCTGCCAGCCTAAGGCCTTGACAATCTCTTGTCCCGACCTCGTAAAACATCACTACAAGCATCATGTATAGCTGACGCACACCAACGGGTCAAAGTTTTATTGGGAAACTAAAAAGTTGATCTTCGGAAACTTTACGGTTTTCTTCGGAAACTATCGGAAACTAATCTTCAGAAATGTTACGGATATGTTCGGAAACTATTCTTCGGAAACTATGCGGTTTTCTTCAGAAACTATGTGGTTTTCTTCGGAAACTTTTCTGTGACAACTAATCTTCGGCTACTCAAAAGTGATCTTCGGAAACTTTACGGTGTTCTTCGGAAACTAATTTTCGGAAACTCTACGGTTTTCTTCAGGAACTAATGTTCGGAAACTACGAAGCGTCGAAGAGCAACATCAAACCTGCACGAACAACTTTCTGCAGATCGCAAACCCACTTACCCACCCACCCACCCACCCACCCCCCCCACCCGCCCAGTGCTCCTTCATGCAAATTGGTTGCAATGTTGTAAAAATTACGAAGAATACTTTCTAAAGCATGCAAATAATAGGTTTCTGAAGATCGCAAAATAGCCTCTGAAGATCGCGGAATAGTTTCTTAAAATCGTGAAATAGTTTCTGAAGATCGCGAAATAGTTTCTGAAGATCGCGAAATAGTTCCTGAAGATCACCAAAAGTTTCTGAAGATCGTGAAATAGTTGCTGAAGATCGCGAAATAGTTTCTGAAGAGTAGTTGCGGAAGAGTACCAAATAGTTGCGGAAGAAATGTTTCAGAAGAATTGTTCCACACCAACGACCTCATCTGGCACTCTTTATCCGGGGATTCTAGACTTCCAGCACTCACAAAGCACCCTAAATGAATGAGCCCCAAAATCACATTATATACTAACTTCTTGCAGTCATGAGGCCAGCAGGAAAGGATCCACCACTGCAGGCGACTGTGTCATCAATATCGCCTCATCTTGTGAGCCCTGCAAACAAGGCAACCATCCTGCACTTGGCACATTGGAGCACCAAACGAGCTTGATGTTGTGGGGGTAGGCATGGAGTGGAGAAATCCAGCGCATGCACCGGATGCGATTTCGGGTTTCATCCTTCAAGAACACAACCACCCAAAATCGCTCAAGTGCAGTGGTAGGAGCTGAGGATCTTGAGACCCACAGAGTGACCATCAATCCCTTGGCTTGGCCAAGAGTGACCAAAATGGGCAAAATCAGTTGCAGAATCGGTCAGGTTTGTTTACGACATACTCAGTCTTGAATCAGTCTTTTAAAACTTGAGCTTCAATGTTCAACACGTTCGTTCGAGCTTCAGCAAGTTATGCGATATGTTTTGCGAGCTAACACTGAGCACCGACAGCTTTCAGAACAGCGGGCTTTCACAGCGCTTCATTGGTCAAGCTCACACCAAGGCTCGCAGGTCCACGGCTTCTTTCTGAAGATGTGCCAGCAACTCGCTTCGTACGGGTTCCCTCAAATCCCGGTAGATCCTCGGAACAAGCGACGGATTGCGAGAGAAATGCTACAGTATGCTACAGTTGAAATGGAAGATGGAAGCAGCAACCACAACAGGCTTTGCAATGTCTACAAGTCTACAATCGTTGGAATAACCTTCCTTGGCCAAATTGCTTGTGACTTGCCAGGCTGGATCTCCATTTAAGTGAATCTTATATCTTTAGGTGTTGCAATGCAATTCAATGGTGAGTTGCCTCTGCTCCCGTGCGTAGAAGTGGTGATTTGGCACAAAACTGACACTGGCACCTTACAATCACCTACTACGATCCCCCGAAAACATATCCAAACCACTACAGATTGTGAATGGATTACACATCCATCGCTTACTCCGTAAAGCCTGAGATGGATAAGTAAGTTCCAAATTCTTTGCTGGGGACGGAACAATATGTCAAGACTGCCTGCTTGTTACAATTGTCATATTTCTATAATTACATCGTTGGCATGTCAAGACAATGGTGTCCGGGTGATTCTGTGTTTTGCCCACTTGTCAAGACAGGTCTATGTGAGGAAATGCTTCAACTTACAGCCCTTTGGCAGTCCACCCAACGTTCGTTTGCCAGCCCACAGCTTGTGCAAGTTGAAGTAGTCGCCGGTACCTGAGCCAAGCCATTCTGGGTGGGATGTATCACATAAATATCATTTGTCGTGCTACTCTAAAGTGGAGGAGCTACCCAGATCTTGACTTTCACATCTAGTACCAAAAGCAGAGGGCTTAGCTTGTCGGAACAACGAGGCGGAGCAGTACTGCTCCCTCTCGGCCTCCAGAAATGAAATATAGACGAGCTCTCCTATAATGCCGATTCGCATGCGCATATATGACCCAAGTGGTGTGTAGCGGAGGCACGTTCCCTTCTTCAATTTCTGCTCAGGTGTCTCGTCGACACTCCAAGGTGCTATCCAGCGCGCTCTTCAACACAGTCAGTTCAGCACCCCGGCAGCTCAGCACCAAACGCCGGACTGCTTGACTGCGGTACCTAGCAGAGAACGAATCAGTCAAGCTCCAAACAGTCCAAACACATCCAAACAGTTGATTTCAGTTGTCTATTCACGATGCATGGATACAACTCGGAACAATCTGAGAATGTCTGGTGTTTTTTCGTGTGCAAAGAAGGCGAGGCACGAAGTGATTCCCACTTTCTGTAAGCCATTCCTTGGTCCAGTTAAAGTAATGGTCAACTTGTGTCTTGCATGCACAGAGGGATTCTGGTCCGTGGAATAAGCTATTCGCAGTCAGCGCAACTTGGAAAACAACATTGCCTTACGTTAAAGTCAGAAGTGCACCGCATGAGTCCACACTGATGATGTTTTCTCAGGTCTTGTGCCGTATTTCTTGTCCTCCAAGCTTCACCAAGATCGCCTTCGTGAAGGGCTCCAACAGGTGTTTCTTTAGCGCATCTTCTGTTAAGCGCTCCTAGCCAAACCACACCAGGGCAGCCCGCACTATCTTGGGGATGTAAAGAGGAGGACTAAGCTGAACCATCAAAAATATTGTTGGCAAGCGCAAACCGCTTGCGTCGAACATGTTGCACTTGCTTCAGCAAACTAGTTGCGATGATTGTGTGTGGCCAACTATTCAATGGCTGCTTGACCGAAGCTGTGGTCAGCCAGGAACTGGGTGCAAGTTACATTGATACTTTCAGATTGAACACTCAGGAATGGTGTAGGTTCAACCGAAAGGTGGCTGATAGTCATTCACCCCTCATTCTGCTTGATTCCAATACAAACGTCTGCCCGAGAACCCAGCCAAGTGTGTCTCTCTCCCTCTCTTTCAGCCACGATGCTTGCAAAGTACGTGGGCCACACAAGAGCAGCGTTGGCACGTCAATGGCTTGAAGCAGCTCATTCAGCAAGTGTTTTTGATCATGCGCGACCTGGGCAGCTGTGGCAACTCCATGCCAGGCATGTCACGCGTTCAAGTAGCGCAGCATGAGGCGAGTCACGCAGCCACGCAGGATATGTGTTTTCAAGGATGCGCACTGAAAGCTACAAATCATTTTTGTGAAAAAGCATGTGTTGCATCACCTGTCTGCAGCACGTGAGATCACACGACGCCTCACCTGTTTGCATCATATCATGAAGTGTCTTCTTGCTTGGCTTGGCCTTCGCCTCGCATGCCCAACAGTGATTTTGATCGATTGTGCAACTGGGGTGCCATCCGGTCGATCATGGATTGAATCCTTCGGCGCACAACATTGGGGATCGGCAATCTGGACGAAGCTGCACAACAACCATGGAGACATGATGAGCATTGATGAGCAGTGGACGAAGCCCCTGCGCTGAAAACACAATTGTCAACATGGGCCTTTGTGTCAGAAGCAACTAAGCAATCTCGCTACATATCTAGGCATTGGACACAGAGGATCAAATCTCTTGCCGAGGCACATCGCCCGGGCAGGGGTGTGTCGCCGCAGCTCCAGCGCTTCTTGCAAAAGCCAGGTAGACAGGATGATGCCTTCCACAACACTGTATTACAACTCAAACAAGACAAAGTCCAGTTGGTCGACATAAAGCCACTTCAGGCACAAGAAATGCGTCAACCAAACACACAAAGGGAATGAAGGGCGCGATTTCAGTCGGACTGCCCACGCCCCGCAATTTCCAAGTGCCCCAAAGGTCCTAAGTGTATAGCACACCGCACACCCTTTTTTTTGATACGATCGCACATCCGGAAAATATCGCTGTGCAGGACCAACCTCTGTATCCAAGTGTCCTTTCTGACTACTGCGGTTCGAGATGAGGAACTCAGGCGCTACATTCCCCACACCGTCCCCACTTGTTGAGTCTTTGATTGTCGCTGCTGTTTGGGGCAAGCAGGTTGCTGCACAGAAGGAACCGCTCGATCCACGCTGACGGCGCGAGTGCAAGGCGGTTAAATGTGGCGCTTACTAAACTGGTTGATGCTAATTCCGATGTTGACTCATGTGTTGATTTCGAAACAAAAAGCTTCATGATGCTTCCGTGCAAAATCTCCATAGCAGTTGATAGTTGATCGGCATTCTAGTGCTGCGCATGCGCTGGCTAAGGCTATGCCATACGGCCCCCCCTCGCCATGTGCATTTTCCAGGGTTGTTCTGAAATCGTGCTGGTTCAGACTTTGAGGACAACTTGTGTCTTCAAAGTAAGCAGGTGTGTGAAAAACAAAAAACTACAAGCTATCCGAATTTGCGGCGTATAAGCAAGCGGATGTCGCGGTGAACCAGCGACCCGGCCTGAGCTGCTTCAGTAAGATTGGCTTTGCTCCGCTCACCGGCTCACCGGAATATGAAGAGACTATGTGCAACATTATGCACTACATTACTACATACTCCATAGTTACAACCATGGAAACAACACAGCAACGCCTACCCTCGCCAAACTGAATCAGCCGAAAAGGTTCTGTCATGGACAGGAAAAGAAGGTTTTCAGGTGAAGGTTCATGCTTCGGCACAGCACAAGGAGAAGCGCACTGCCATAGTGCAAAACACGGGCAGAACAGAACTAGCTCTTGGCGTGCAGCAGGACTCTTATTTTTGGCCTTGATTTAGCTTTGGTTGCATCCAACAGTGGCACGAGAACGTCAATTTATAGCACCGAGCACCAATCTTTGGAAGCAATGCCTTTCACATGTCCTTTCGCTCCAAATCATGTCAAGTCTTCATTGTTGGAGAATGGTGCTGAAATACGCATGTGGGGACACCAATAATCCACAGCAGTGGCTGGACTGTGAACAAAAGGGCGTGAACACCCAAGAGGGGCAGCTACAATTACGTGTGTCCCTAACTAACCCTGTCTTATCAGGATTGCCGCATGACTCCATGACGTTACCTACCTTGGGTTTATGGTTGATATATGTTTATTTGTTCACTATAATAACTTGAACAAAGGTTGGTTTCACACCATTGAATGTGCGAGTCCAACATGCTGGCCTGCCATAAAGTAATGTGAATGAACGAGCCATTGAGCAACCTCAATTTCTGCACTGAAAACGAAAACCCTCGCAGGCATGTCTCTTGTGGAGTTGAGTCTTCTCAGTCTCCGGTATCCAGTAGTTCTGTGTAGATATTTCGATATATGAAGCCACTTCGCACTTCTGACAATTGAAAGATTGGCAGTTGCTTCAATGGGCCAACCATGAGCCCCTTGGCCGGGTGCAGCTAAGGTGCATTTTGCCATCGCAAGCCTTGGCCACAAATGGCACAATCAGTTCCGATTCCAAGTGTCTCCTGTCTGAGGATTGTCAAGCCTGTCACCGCGGACGTGCGAGTTTCTTTGGTGAGGATCGGTTCTGTATAGAACGCCATCGTTTTGAAGACCATGTAGATTGTGAGCAAGGCATACGACTCCGTTGTTGGTACCGGCTACAAAAGCCTGCAATTGGAGTGCAAAACATTGAGAGCCCTCCCTGTCCCACATCTCTATTCGACTCTCTATCCGATCCCTGGTCCAAGGCCCCGGCATAGCCGCAGCACGGAAACCCTGAGTCGGCACTGAAAGAGAGCAACTTGGTCTCCTTTACCTGAGCCTTTCACTTTACCGCCTCTTAGCTCTTGGACAGTGCCACAATATAGTTTGTCAATGTTTATCAAACACAACCGGCAGATGCACGACTTCCATAGGTTCTTCCAAACTCTCGACTCCATCTTCTGGCCAAGCTGCAGGATTAAGACAATGGTTGGAAGACTGGAGGCCTCAAACAATAGCAACATAAACATACACAGCTGAGGTTCAGTCTTATGGCTGAAAAAAAGGAATCAAAATGACTCCCCGAGAAGGACTGAGCGTTTTCCGAGGTTCCCAGGTGACCACAAGATCTGAGAAAGCTGCAAATCTAGACGCTGCAAATGCATGTAGAAACAGTTTGGGCATTCCGAGGAGTTGACCCTAAGCCAAATAAAAAACTGACGTCTCGTTCTGGACAAGCTTCCTTGGCAAGGCGGCTCATTTTGGACGGAATCTCTTTGTAAAAGCTGTGTAAAACAAGAACATCACTTGAAGTCACGGAGAGAGATGGTTGCAGGGAATGGGCTGAATGGGCCTAGATGAGATCCCCAAGTAGCAAACGATGGACAAGGCTGCCAAGGCTGTCTTTGTTCGGCACTTCTTTGGCCAAGCAGCCCGATTTGGGCACTCACGTCCTACCAGGTCTGAGCTTCCCGGATCTTCCAGGTCTGTTTTTTGCACCGTCGGCAGGTCTTTTATCCATGCAAATCGGCAGATTTCGCGTGGCACGGAGTTCGTGGCAGCGGGGGAACACCCCGTCCCCGTCCTTCGCCAGGCGCTGCGAAAGCTTGTTCTTTGGCTCTCGTCGGGCGTAGGGCCTCACGAAAATGCACAAATGATTCGATGACACCTGGTGAACCTCATGCATTCCTGCAATGAGACCCTGCGTTTGAACCAGGTGAACACATCATAAAACATCTGTACCTCGGATCTCGCGAGTTGTAGAAAGGAGGAAGCGGTTTCTGCTTGACCTGCTGCACATACCTTGGAAGTGGTCAGGCTGGCGGATCAAGCAGTGACAAAGAAGTTGCGAAGGAGCTGGGGGGAAATATACTGCAGTGATGCCTTCCGCTAATAACGTGCCTGACCTGTACATTTCCAACCTTTGTTGCAAACCTTGTACAAGTAGGGGCTGGCAGTCAAGGACAGGCATGACTTTAGAACTGAAAGAATTCCTAAACGCAATAATTTCTGAGCCTCGACATATACAAAACCAGTCTTCTTGGCTGGCTATTTAGAGATTGATGAAGGGAACGTAAACATAACATAAGTTAATGAAATATGAAACATGTCTACCGCGGATAGGTGGCGTCCACCTTCTCATGGTGGTGCCACATGTTCACCCTTCTTCGCCCCCAGAAGACGAGTCCTGGCGAGTGACAACTGGGTGAGCGCGAGGAGGATGAGGATGTCTGAGACTTTGGCACCTCATCTCATCACATCGCACACGCTGCTCTTGACTCCCACATCACCTCTTCCAGATTTAACCACCTACCTTCGTCCTCCGCCGAAAAAAACTGTCCCGAAGGCTGAGGTGCCCGGCTAGCATTTGCACGAAGATCCCAACGCCTTGGAAGACCCCGACGGGTCGACCCCGACGAGGCTCGGTCCAGGGTCTGCCCGACTGGTCGACCCGTCGGCGAAACCTTGTCTACAGCAGTGAAAGCATAGGTTTCACTCTGGTTTCATCGGCTTCAACGTGTGGTTTCAGATGGTTTACACGGAGGTGGTATGAAAAGCTCAAAACACACTGGTAGTCACACTGGTTGAATACTGTTTGTATATGTTTAAGAGTGTATATTGATTATACCATCGCATAAACTATACGCTCACGAAAACTAACGTTATCCCCAAAATTTGCGATGTTCACTGTTCATCCACACAAGCTGAGTCATAAATAGTAATGAGAAGTGAAGCTCTCTCCAGCCATCCACTGCAAAGCATCGCAACTGCCGTCCTTGTCTCCTTTGATGCTCCGTTCCATTCCCTTCACCCTTCGCTGGTTGTGTCACTTGCCCTTCAAGAGGCGGATGCTTGGCAAAGATGGCGGCAACTGCCTTGGATAACGAGCCACAGGGACGTGCAGAAAATCATTACTTAAATTAAAAAATTATACCAGCGTAGACCCCAAACAGTTTGTGCGTTTATGAAGTTAACCACAGAGACGAACTGTCAAACCGTCAACGGCTCAAACCGTTCCAGCTCGCGGTGATCAACTCGGACCTTCTGGGCTTGTTTCAGCACTTGGCTCAATTGGCTCAAGGTCACAACCGACAATTCAGACGAAAATAGAACGCAAATCTACTGAATATGCTGAGTTGTACTGACATGTGGCTTTATCATGATTGTTTGGCTAAAAGATGTTAAAAGCTTTCAACCAAAATGTGAGACAAGCAGGGACACAAGAAGGGAGACAAGTGAAGAAGCGAGGGAGACAAGCACGGGGACAAGTGGAGACAAGTGTAGCAAGAAGGGGAGACGAGCAGGGAGACAAGTGGGACAGCGTAAAGCCACTTGGCCAAGAGTGTCTAAGCAGGGAGCAGGCGAAGAGGCAAGCGGAGACAAGTGTAAAAGCGTATCCAGAGCCGGCCGAGACAAGTGGAGACAAGTGAAGCAAGAAGGGAGACAAGCAGGGAGAGAAGTGTAAGCTCATCCAACCGAGGGTATAGAAGCAAGAAGACAAGCAACCGGCCAAGTGTAATCCAAAGTAGGCCGAAAAAGTGGGAGACCAGTGGAGACAGGTGTAAAAACAAACATCCGGCCAAGTGTATCCAGAGTAGGCAGAGGAAACATCTCACGCGGCCCAGAGGACCCAGAGGGAGACAAGCGCAAAAGCATGCAGCCAGAGCACCCACATTGTATTGGAGACAAGGAGAGACAAGTGGGAGACAAGTGCAAAAGCATGCAGCCAGAGCACCCAGAGTGTATTGGAGACAGGGAGAGACACGGGGGAGGCAAGCCAGAGTACGGGAGACAAGGGAGACAAGTGGGAGACAAGTGTACAATCACGCGGCCAGAGCAGCAGAGTGTACTGGAGACAGGAAGACGAGGGAGACAAGTGACAAGCGGGAGACAAGTGTAAAATCATGCGGCTCAGACTGAGAGACAGCTGCAACATCATTCGTGTGGCAGGAACAAAAACCGGGAGACACATGCAAAATCACGCGGCCCGCCCTTTCAAAGGAATAAGAACCCCTCACAGCTAAACCTGTTTGGGGGATAAAATCATGCGGCCAGAGCACTGAGAGCATCCAGAGCTTACTGGGAGACAAATGGGAGACAAGTATAAAATCATGCGGCCAGCGCACTCAGAGCATCCAGAGCTTACTGGAGACAAGTGGGAGACAAATGGGACACAAGTATAAAATCATGCGGCCAGAGCACTCAGAGCATCCAGCGCTTACTGGGAAACAAGTGGGAGACAAGGGTGAAATCATGCGGCCAGAGCACTCAGAGCATCCAGAGCTTACTGGGAGACAAGTGGGAAACAAGTGGGACACAAGTATAAAATCATGCGGCCAGAGCACTCAGAGCATCCAGAGCTTACTGGGAGACAAGTGGGAGACAAGTGTGAAATCATGCGGCCAGAGCACTCAGAGCATCCAGAGCTTACTCGGAGACAAGTGGGAGACAAGTGGGAGACAAGTGTGAAATCATGCGGCCGAGCTTTCTGGGAGACAAGTGGGAGACAAGCCTGAAATCATGCGGCCAGAGCACTGAGAGCATCGAGAGCTTACTGGGAGACAACTGGGAGACAAGTGGGAGACAAATGGGAGACAAGTATAAAATCATGCGGCCAGAGCACTGAGAGCATCCAGAGCTTACTGGGAGACAAGTGGGAGACAAGTGGGAGACAAGGGTGAAATCATGCGGCCAAGAACACAAGCCCGGAGACAAACTCAAAATCATCCGGCCCGAGCATGCACCCCTTTAAAAGGAGTAAGAACCCCTCACAGGTAAACCTGTTTGGGGAAATATACAGTAAACAAATAGTGGAGAGTCCTCCGGATAGTCCTCTGGAACCTCTGGGAGCTATCTCTCAGTGGGAGCTTGGTCTTTCTCAACCCCACTCCCCTGGGCGAGGCTCAGCGGAAAATAATGACTTTTCGCAGGCAAGAATCAATGGATACCAGGCCTTGGCTAGAAGGAGTGTGTGAACGTCAGGTCACAACACACACCACAACACACACTTCGAACTTGGATTTTCAGTTAATGCAATTACCACGTTGGG